ACAAATAATTACAGGGGCAATGTCATTGGATTATGAAGGAAGAGACTGAAGAGAGGCATCCACAAACTAAAGAACATCAAAGGTTGCCAGCAAACCACCAGGAGCTAGAAAGGGTACATGAAATAGATTCTCCCTCACAGCCTTCAGAACCATCCGGCCCTGTTGGACCATGATGTCAAACTTTTAGCATTCAAAATTTTGAGACAATAAATTTATATTATTTTAAGTGACTCAGTTATGGTTCTTACAGCAGCCGTAGAAAACCAATACTGATGTTATTTGGCCAAAGGACACCAGAAATATTATAACATCTTAGAATGTTACCTTTTCTTTCAGAGTCTGAAAGGAATATATAAAATAGAAACATAAATTCCACAAGTATATTTTATATGAATAAATGTTAACCCCAAAGCTCAGGGTAAGCTTCAATGAGACAAAATGGATCATGACAAGACCTTTAACCAAAGCTAAACAGAAACCAAGGAAGATATGTGCTTACCTTTCTCACTGAGCTCTTTACTGATTTTTTTTAAATTTTACAAAGGATTGCAAATAAAACTGCGTTAAGAAAATTCCGAGTCACTTCCTATGCTTTGTAGAAATGAGACATTGCAGTGGAGAAGGATATGGGAGATTTCCAATTTCAGTTAAAAATCTAGTTTCATGGAAGCAAAATTATGCCACCTGGAATTTAGATTATTTGGAACAATAGGAGAAATTAAAACCATCCCTTCTTTGTGAAAAACTACCTGATGAGCCTTAAAAGGACCCTTCTTGGGACTGAAGAAAACTAAATTTTTACTGACTTATTGCTAGAAGAGTAGGGAAAAATGTATCCGTGCAGAAAGACATAGTACTTTCTTTTACCTAAAGGCCAACAGCATGTAAAATAAAATATTTATAGCTCTTTTAAGAGAGAGTATGGGTTCAGTTATTCTCAAGAAATCTCTCTGTTATCTTTACAAAGTTCTGACTTAAGAAAGAATTCATGTGCTATTAAACTGAGCCATTTGAACTCCATGACTCCAATCCGTATATTGGCTCAGGAGTCTCTTTCTCAGAGAAGTTAAACTTGGATATTGATGAAGAGGATGATAGACATAACCATAACGTTTAATAAAGAATATCTCTGTGCATGGCAGCATACTAAGGAGATTTTAAAATCTGTTCTATGTAACATGATTGATTCCTGAAGAGCTGGGATTTTTTTTTCAAAACCAGTATTTCTAAACTATACTACATTTCTGCAGCATCCCTTTCCTTTCAGAGTCCTCCTTAACCAAGATTTACATTTATTAGGAGATGCTACAAAACATACACTGTATTATTTATTTTCAAACCCACATTAGGCAAATAGCTAAAAGGTACACAATATAATTGGAAAATGTGTCCAGAAACTTTATTTGATATGAAGTTTTATTCTAACTTCTAAAATTCCCTCTGTGTCAGAAGGTTGAAAGACTAGAAATTACTTTTCTCTCCTTGTCTTCCAGCAGAGTTTTAGTTAGGGTTAGCTGATGAGAAGAACTTGGATGAGACGGAAAGCAGAATGAGCAAAATAATTTTTTGGTGAAAGCTTAGAAGAGGCTTGTGGCATTTGTATAGGACAAATGTGGGGTTTTGCCAAGACTGTTCAGATATGTCTTGAGAACCACACACTTTGTTTTTAGGAAGTTGCTGTCACATGTGATGCCTCCCTTGAAATTCTTGCACTTTCCCGTTTTCTGAAAAATGATACAACCCCCTACTCATTGGCTTCCAAGCCCTTCAGTTCTAATTATAGTTTAATATTCAAATTTTTCCTTGAAATACATAGAGTGGCTCATGTATAAATGAAAAATCCTAAGTCAGAAAGAGACCAAAATAATATGATGGTAAAAAGTCAACATTGAATTAAATATTGCTTGGCACATGAAAAAGCAATATTGATTCAAAAAATAATTTTAAAAGACAATAGAGAAAAATTTGTGGGAGCTTCAGATAACAAAATTCCATATTATAAATTTTAAAATAATACTAAAAATAGTAATAGGCAAAAAGAGATAAATCACAAGATGGAGAAGGTTGATCTGAGACTTTACACTTCTAACAAGTTCCTAGGTATTGCTGATGCCCCTTATCTGAGAAGTCGCTGTTAGTGTGCGCATCACATTTCTGCTGTAGAGGCTGCTGTCAGTGCTTGCATACCAGGGTGTTCATTCCTGTGTCCATTCTCCAGCTTCCCTGAACTTCAGTCCTTATCATTCACCTTACAGTTTCTTCAGATAACTCTACTCAGGCATGGAAAAAACCAAGATTAGCTAGGAAATGCCCCTTTAGAGGAGTTTATATTCAATGACAGATTGGTAAAGAAATAGAACATTGTAGGTCTTCTTTGAAGTAGGACAAATTCCATGGCGCAATTTATGTGTCAAAGCTTCCTGTGATATCAGGCTGACATGGGAATTTGACTTGAAGTGATATCCTTGCTTTGCTCCTTTCTCTTTCTTAACCTGCTTCTTCCCTGCTCTTCTCTGTTTCTCTATGGCTAAATTCTATAATAAATCAAGCGTACTTGTACCTGAAAACTCCATAATCTGTATGGCTAGTGGCTACAGTTTTTGACGGTATGGCTTCTACAATAATACATAATTTCATTGGAAAATGCTGCTCCAGAGGCCTTCATTGATTTTATCTTCCTACAATGAAAGTTTATATATAGTCTGATTACATTATTTGAATTAGAGATAGTAATAATCAGGGGTTATATTTACTTTTCTTAAGGTATATTATTTGTGCTTTGCCCTTATTCTTATAATGTGTCCCATATGAGGTCTCAGATAATGACCTGGTGGTCTTTTAATTCTAATCTTTGTGTTCCTAGTAGAAAGAAACTTTAGAAGATTCTTAGTTTCATTGCTTCTTAGCCTCATGCACAGTCTAAGAAAAAATAAATCCTTTGGTGGGACGACACGGAGCAGATTTTGACCTCATTTCTCTGAAGTTCTTTTTTTCTACATGATCTGGTTCTCTCAGGTTGTGACTGTCTTTATACTGCTAAACTTTGACTTTATTTTCCAATTCACATGAATCTTCCAAAGACTCTGTTCAAGAATTCTATTTAGTTGCTCAGCCCACTGAAAAATAGGTACAAATTGAAGGGAAAAAAAAACCTTCAGAGAAGGTTGAATTCACTTGTCTATCCTTATCCTCTCTGATATCCTTGTTTTTCAATTCCTGGCTGCCTTGTATATTCTTCTATGCCTTTATTTGGTAGCTGAATTATAATAAATCTACATTAGTTTTTTTTTTCCCCCACACCTCATTCTTATTTGGGTTCTATGGCTTTAGCTGGATTCCTTTACCCATTTGAATAATCCTCAGATGTTGTTTCTTCAAATATTCAGCCTTATTTTCTCTCTCCTATTTTTCAGTCTCCAGTTAACTAGATTAGACCACATGACTATAACTATGTATTATCCTCTCTCCTTTAATTGATATTTATTTTTAACCTCTTATATTCATTCTGGATATTTTCTTCAAACCTATCTTCCAGGTCATTATTCTCTCTTCAACTTAGTATATTCTTTTGCTAAATCCATTTATTTTATCAATTTATATACCTTTTAGTTCTCTGCCAAATTTGTCTATCTTATTTTCTATCTTCTTGAACATGTTAAGCATTTTCTGCATAATTACATTTTCTGGATCTCTTCCAGGTCTATTTTTATTTTTTATTGTGTTTTTGCTTTGTAATAATAATGAGTTTTGTTTCCCTCCAAATAAAGACTAAAGTAATAGTGAAAACCATATATAAGAATTGTAGAAATATTTTAAGGAGTATAAATATTTTACATCCTGTAAAGACGATGTTCATTTACTTTTATTGTGTGACAACGGCAATAGCAACCCCAGACAACTTAATCTGTTTATAAAAGATTGGATTATTTAAAGCAGGGCTTCAGTTCTTGAACATGTCAATATTTCTGATTCATTCTCGCCTGTATAACTTACCATTTTATGGTCTTAAGATAAAGTATAGGAGCTTTCAAAGCTTCTTCTACTTGCCATTTTCTGTACTCCATTTTTTTTTGTTCTCTATTTCTTCTAGACTGTCAAACTATCTGTTTAAGTTTTTTAAATATCAGCTTCCTCTTCAGAAATTATTAGATGCTTCTAGGGGAAAAGTAGCTAAAAATACCCGTATTACTTCTTTTCTTATTTCTATGCACTTTCACTGCTTTATTGGTTCCTGTTTCCATTTAATGAGTTTAAAAAACAAAACAAAATAAAAAATATTTCCTGTCTTTCTAGCTATTCTTAGCAGGGAGGTTGTTCCAAATTATTTAGGTCACCATTTCCGTTTATGAGTAGCTGCAAGCATGACTTTACTACAAACTACTTTTCTTCTAAACCAAAAAATAAACGCTATGTTTAACTTATAAACATTTTAAAAAATAATTAAGTTAGGGCCTTAGTACACATACACATGCATTAAATGGTTTATGATAAATGGCTTACAAAAATGTTTTTCTCTTAATTGCGCTTATATCATCAACATGTGTGATATCATTTTTTGTCTTCTATGTATTATAGTTGCTAAAGGCTGGTGATATATTCATGTCAGCATCATCACAATGTTTTATTAGCTATATCTGGCCAAACTAATTATAATATAGGTGACATCTCTGTCACATTTGTTCAAAGATTAGACTTAATATTATAATCTTGCTTAGATATATGTATAGCTATGATTGTTCAACTCTATGTAGCTAAGCATATTGTGGTTATATTGTTTAGGAGTCTAAACTTAAATATCTAAAAGACTTCAAAATTTTAGTGGCTTCAAAAATATAATTGTGTAATTTTCCCAGGTAATGGTCCTAAGTGACAGTTTGGACTGGATGACAATCTCTCTCTGTCCTCTAAGTACTAGCTCAAAGACATTGGCTATTTACCACTGAGGGTCCACCATCTCTTAGAAACTTGTCATCAGATGTTGCATCTAGCAAAAGTAAGAAATCTCTTCTCAGCCTTTTGGCTAAGATCAAGTATAGTATCTGTTCTTATCAGTTTAATATCTTATATATTCTCTTTCTGAGGACAATATTAAATGGAATGTTGAAAATAGGAAATGGAACATGAGCTTGTTCTGTCTACTCCATACGTTAACTGGCATTGCAGTACTCCCAGGAAGAAAGAGAAAGAGAAAGAGAAAGAGGGAGGGAGAGGGGGAGGGGGAGGGAAGAAAGGAAAGAAAGGAAAGAAAGGAAAGAAAGAAAGAAAGAAAGGAAGGAAGAAAGGAAGAAAGGAAAAGAAAAGAAAAGAAGAAAAGAAAAGGAAGGAAGAGAGAAAGAGAGAGAGAAAGAGAGAGAGAGAAAGAAAAAAGGACAAAGGAAAAGGCTAGACAAAGAAGCAAAAAGAAAAAACTAATGACTACCACTCACATGATATCACTACAATTACAACTCAGATTTTCTGTCTACAGGGAATATAGGAAATGCTACCTTCCCAGAGAAAAGAGGAAACAGGCATCAGTGAATATCTGAGAGTTTCTGATCCAATGGTAAAAACACCTTCATTTGTAAAGAGGCATGCTCTTGTGTTCTGGGAACAAAACGCTTCCTTTTTTTCTTCCCCCAAAAGAGAATGAGTAAAGAAGAAAATAATAGAGGTTAGATGCTATAGACATCTTTGTTTCTGTTAAATGCAGAATTCTAGGTTGACTCTTTGGAATAACACAGACATGCACATCAATACAACAACAAAACAATGCTACTGTCCTATATAGCTTTTCTCTTCCATGCACTATGTATTATACATTTTCACTGCTAGTAATATAAGCTGAAGTTCAATAACTTAAATGTTTTGCTCTTCTGTTACTTAATTTCTAAACTGTATGTATTGTGAAAGCAGCACATATAAATTAAAGAACAATGTAGAAAAATATTGCAAAATCTCAAGAAAGCAACATTGTTATTTTAAGATAATTCATTGAACAAAAAATGTCCATTTTTAGACCACAATGGGGTAAAATTAGAAATCAATACAGGGAAGATAAGATAAAAAATTGAAAAGTACATGGAAATTAAACAGCACACTTCTACATAACATATGGGTCAAAGAAGAACTCTCAGGATAAATTTGAGACTATTTTGAGCTAAATATAAATGAAAGTACAATTTATCAAAATCTGTGGTCTATAATAAAATGATGCTTAGAAATTTCTAGATTTGAATACAAAATAGAAATAATAAACATCTAAAATCAATAATAGAAGGCATTCCCTTAGGAAACTAGAAAAATGATAGTAAATTAAATCTAAAGTAAGCAGAAGAAAAGAAATATTAAATGGAAAATAATAAAAGACAGAAGTTCAATAGAAAAAAATAAATCAATGAAACCCAAAACTGCTTCTTTGAAAAAAATCAATAAAATTAATAACCCCTTTGTCACGTTAATAATAAAAAAGAGAGAAAGGAAACAAATTACATCTCAAATGAAAGAGGTGTTGTTACTACAAAATTCATGATCATTGTAAAGATAATAATGGTATACTATGAAAAACTCTATGATCACAAATTCAAAAAACTATGAAATGGGCCAATTTGTTAATAGACACAATCTGCCAATGCAGACAAGAAGAAAATGATCATCTAAATAGGCCTGTAATTATTTCTTAAATAAATAATAATGTTTAAAAACAGAAAGTACCAGGGCCAAATAGGTTTATTAGTGAATTTTAATAAGGATTTAAGAAAAAAATTATTCTAAATTCTTACAATTCCTTTCAGATTATAGAATCAAAGGGAATACTTCTAACTCCTTCTATGAGGCCAGCATTAATCTAATGCCCAAACCAGGCAAAAACATTACAAAGAAATAAGATTACAGACCAATATTTTTCATAGACCAATATTTTTCATAAACATAGATGGAAGAATTCTCTACATAGTTCCAAAAATTTAAGTCAAATAACATGTAGAAAGAATTATACATCACAACCAAGTGAGATATATCCAGGTAGGCAAAATTCAAAAATCAATATATAACCCATCACAACAGAATAAAGATGAAAAAAATAATCATATCAATAGATGCAGAAAAAGCATTTGACAAATTCAATATCCATTCATTATAAAACAAAAAACCTCTAAGTAACCTACTAATGGACAAGAACTTCCTCAAAGTGTATTCATAGCAAAACCTACAGCTAACCTTATACTTAAAGGTGAGGAAGTTAAACTTTTCTCACTAAGAAAAGACCAATAAGGATGACCTTTGTCACCACTAATTTTCAACATTATACTGCAAGTCCTAGCCAATGCAATAATACAGAAAAAGGAAGTAAAACATATACAGATTGAGAAGGCAGAAATGAAAATATCTGCTCAAATATGACATGATTATGTAGAAAATTAAAAGAATTAAAAAATCTGCAACTTACAAGTGAATATAGCAAGGTGATATGATACAAAGCTAATATACAAAAGCCAATGCTTTTTTTAAATAAACTAACAATGAACAAGTATATCTTGAAAGTAAAAACACAATACCATCGACATTAGTGCCTCCTAAAATGAAATACTTAGATATAAATATAACAAAGTATGTGTCAAAGGTATATATCAGGAAAACTACAACACTGATAAAATAAAGATAAACTAAATAAATGGAAAGATATCCCACATTCATGAATAAGAAAAGATAGAGTCAAAATGTAAGTTCTTTCCAACTTGATCTAGAGACTTAATAGAATGCCAGTAAAAATCCCAGAAAATTATTTTGTGGTCATTTATTTTGTAAATTTTGTATGAAGAGGCAAAAATTCAGTATGACCAACAAAATATGAAGAAGAATTTGGAGTACTGACACTACCTGACTTCAATACTTAATTTAAACCTATAGTAACCAAGACAGTGTGATAGGCAAAAATATAGACAATTTGGTGATAAATAGAATAGAGAACTTAGAAACAAACCTACATAAATATAGTCAACTTATTAAAAAAGATGTAATACAATGAGGGAAAGACAGTTATTTCAACACATGGTACTGAAAGAACTGGACATAACATGCAGAAAAAATTAAATTAGACACAGCCCTTACATCTTTCACAGAAATTAAAATGGATCATAGACACAAATGTAAATTGTAAAACTGTAGAACTCCTAGAAGATAACAGAGAAAAAAAAAACTTAGATGACCTTGGACATACTGATGACTTCTTAGATATAACACCAAAGGCAAACTACATTTAAAAATAATTAATAAGATGGACTTCACTAAAATTAAAAACTTCTGCTCTGCAAAAGATGATGTCAAGAAAATGAGAAGATAAGCCACAGGTTGAGAGATAATAGTTGAAAAAGACACAACTGCTAAAGGTTTACTATTCAAAATATATAAAGAACTTTTAAAACTCAAAATAAGAAAACAAACAATTATAAAATAAGGAAACAAACAACTCAATTATAAAATGGGTCAAAAATTTATTGAGGCATGGTGGCACCTGCCTGTGGTCCCAACTACTCAGAAGACTCGGGCCTGGCAGGTTGAGACTAATGTGAGCCATCATTGTGCCATGGCAGTCCTGCCTGGGCAACAGTGCAAGATCCTGTCTCAAAAATAGAAAATATAAAAATAAAAAAAATTAAGAAAAACATAAAAAAATTAAAAATAGGCCAAAGGCCCTAACAAGACCCCTTACTGAAAAACATATGCAGATGTAAAGTAAGCATTTAAAGAGATCATTACATCAGGGAACTGCAAACTTAAACAAGGAATACTACTACATGGGTATTAAAATCACTAAAATCCAGAATACTGATAAAACCAAAAGCTGGTAAAGATGTAGAGCAATAGGAACTCTCATGTATTGACGAGAATGCAAATCCCAGAAAATTATTTTGTGGATATTGTGCCACGGCATTCCAGTCTGGGCAACAGTGCAAGACCCTTTCTCAAAAATAGGAAATATAAATGGTACAGCCACTTTAGAAGACAGTTTGAAAGTTTCTTACAAAACTAAACATGGTGTTACCATATGATCTAATAGTTGTGCTTTTTGATACTTATCTAAAGTTGAAAACATGTCTACACAAAAACCCACACACAGAGGTAAACCCTTATTTTTTACTGCCAAAATTTGGAAGCAATCAAGACGTTCTTCAGTAGGTAAATGGATAATAAACTCTGGTTCATCCAGACAATAAAATATTATTCAGTGCTATAAAGAAATGGGCTATCAAACCATAGAAAAGACATAAAGAAATCTTAATGCATGTTACTAAGTAAAAGAACCCAATTTGAAAAGATTATATATTTTTCAGTGTTCTCTAGAGGGACAGAATTATTAGGAGATATATATATATCTCATATAAATATATATATTTATATATATATATATCCTATATATATATGGAATTTAAATATAGAATATATATACATATTATATATGGAATTTATTAAGTATATCAACTCACATGATCACCAAGTCTCACACAGGTTGTTGCAAGGTGAGGAGCAAGGAAGCCAGTCTGAGTCCCAAAGATGAAGAATTTGGAGTCCTATGTTCTGGGGCAGGACGCATCCAGCACGGGAGAAAGATGTAGGCCGGTAGCCTAAGCCAGTGTAGACTTTCCAGGTTTTTCTGCCTGCTTTATATCCTGTCCATGCTGGCAGCTGATTAGATGGTGCCCACCCAGATTAAGGGGGGGGTCTGCCTTTCCCAGTCCACTGACTCAAATGTCAATCTCCTTTGGCAACACCTTCACAGACACACCCAGGATCAATACTTTGCATCCTTCAATCTAATGGAGCTGACACTCAGTATTAACCATCACAGGCTACCTACTATATGATTCCAAATATGACATTTTGGAAAAGACAAAACCATGGTGACAGTGATAGAATTGGTGTTTGTCAAGGGTTGAAGGGGGTGAAGACTGGATAAATAGTGGAAACACAGCAGGATTTAGGGCAGTAATAATGCTATTTTTGGTACTATAATGGTAGATATACACTATTATACATTTGTCAAAACCCATAGAATGTACACTACCAAGAGTAAATCCTGAAGTAAACTAGTGGGTATGGGTGATAATGATATGCCAATGAATGTTCCTCAGCTATAACTAAATATCATTCCGTTTAGGAATGTTGATAATGGGGAATTGGGGATGTAAGCGCATGTGTAAAAATAGGAGA